GTACATGATAGGAGAGGTCCTTGAACTAAAGTAAGTTAGTACATGATGGCCTTACTTTTAATTGTGGGTCCTATTAAAAAGGATCTGCACAAAAGTTACCACTATGCAACTTGCTACTTCCTTTGACATGTAAAGTAGGATAAAAATAAAGGCATAAACCCTCTATGTTGGAAACCAAGATTTTAAAATTATAAGTTAACCCCTCTATGTTTTGAATTTAATTTGCGTCGTGATATTGATTGCTTCCGGTTTCCGGTAACTAAAATAAGAGAATGGATAGGAGTAAGAGAGTTGTTTCCGGTGTCACTATTTATAATGAAAATAAAACATGCATAGCAGAGGTTTATAGGGACACTGGAATTCGATACAAGGTACGTACTAGGACTGAAGCTGTCACTCTTCTCGCAAATATTTAAGGACTTCTTTGCAAAATTAATAAGTTGCGAAACCTTATATCACCGGTCAAATTCATGAATCATCCATGCACCACGTTTTCAACTACTTCACACTCTTCATGTTAGGATCCCTCCTTAATTGGAGAGGTTCTAGAAAATTCTAGAGCTTTTTAGAGAAGTATAGAATTTTCTAGAACATTCTAGAGAATCCTAGAGAATTGTAGAATTCTCTAGAAGTTTGTGGAATAGTGTGGAACCCTCTAGAACATTCTAGAGATGTGTGGAGCCTTCCGGAACCTTATGGAAGAGTATAGAAGGATATAGAATGGAGTAGAGATTCCTGGAATGTGTGAAACATTCTAGAGAACCAATCTCAACCCTTGATCCCCACCATTCATTTTGAAGGTGGAGTAGTATAAATAGGGGTAGGAGGCTTCATTCCTATCCAATCCAAGCCAAGAGTGAAAAATGATGTACATATTTTGGTAAATATATTAAGATCCTTGTAAGTTATTTATGTGTATTTACTCTTATTTCTCATTTGTGCTTTCAATTTAAATATATATATATATATATATATATGACTATCTATAAACGTATAAAATTAGGATTAATATGTATATTTTAGACGTTACAAAAAACTACTGCCTTGATCACATATGGCAACACTTGACTAGAGCTTGACATCACAATGTCAAAGAAGGGCAATCATGCTCAATACCTCTCAATCCATGTCTGACGTGACCAAGTTAGAGAGCTCTTCTCTAGCTCATACTCAACATTATCAATCTTGCATCCAACATTTAAGGTAGAGAGTCTTTAACCTATATCACACCCGATGTTAGATGGTGATTTTTGCACTTGTTAGAACCATGATTTGGCTCAATCCTCCTCAAAATTTGCCCATAACCAGCATGCAAAGCATAACAACACAACTATACGTGATCAACTACTTAATTTCATCCTCAAAATCAACATATGCAACTGCAAGATAACTCAACAATTTTCTCCTTCTCCTACTCACAATAATCAAACCAAGAAACATCTTATATTCACATCTTAATTCATCAACACAATTTTAAAATGATAATTCCATACAACAACAACAACAATACTTCAACAATTAATAGTTAACAAACTTCCCTTACCTCAAATCATTCAAAAAAGTGGTAGAAGAAAGGATGAACGCAATCCTATGAGAACTCCACATGCTGACTTCGAGTTTTTGATCTCAACTCTAGAGGCTTTGAATTTTTACATAACTACTCAATAATCTTAGGGGAATGGTCCTAACACAATCTAGTGGACTCAAAGAAAGAAGAAAGAAATTATGGCTCCAAAGCTCCTTTCTCCAACTTCTCTTTAATTTTCTTAAAAACTAAACTTATGAAATTCAAGTCTCAAAGAAAATCTTATATTCCTTTCCTTAAATTTAGTCAAGTTGACCTTAGCTAAAAAATAAAAATTCATAAGAATTTCTTAATCCTTATAATTCTACAACAATTCAACACCTAATCACAATATCAATTGAATTAATAAATTTAACACATATAAAATTCACGGTGTTACAAAAATGATCTTTCAACCATTTCATTTTTTTCAAATTAAAAAATATACTTAAATATGTTTTTAATTCATATAAAATGAACAAATTTTAATTTTGCTCCTATACTTTTTTATTTTATTTTTCATCTCTCTAAAATTTGAAGTCGTTATTTTTGTCAAGTAAAATGAGTAAATTTTGGTTTTAATTCCTAAAAATTATTTTCCTTTGATATCACTTCTATAAAATCTAAAGTCATTATTTTTCTCTCTCATGATTATTTTAAGTAGATAAATAACACTTTTTAAAATATTATAAAAATAATTAGAGGTTCTATATATTGACACTATATCACATATAGTTCAGTGTGCCTCATAGAATGTTTATTTAAATTTCTAATAAGCACATAAGTACTCTCCCTAAACTTATATGTAAGAAAAAATTACCTAAATTTTTTTTTGGCTTAAATATAAATAAATTTTAACTAACTTACCCTATTTAGTTCTTGCTCCTACGTATCTTCATGTATAATGAAGAGAGGTGGTACTCGGGAGGGGATTGCTTGTACAACCTTGGCTGAGATGGTACTCGGGAGGGAAAGCATTTTCATCCTTGACCGAGGTGGTACTCGGGAGGGGATTGCTACTTCAACCTTGGCCGAAATGGTACTCGGGAGGTAACGAAGTCTTCATCCTTGGCCGAGTGGGAGTGCTCGGGAGGGAATTCTTTTTTCATCCTTGACCGAGGTGGTACTCGGGAGGGGATTGCTACTTCAACCTTGGCCGAGATGGTACTCGGGAGGTAACGAAGTCTTCATCCTTGGCCGAGTGGGAGTGCTCGGGAGGGAATTCTTTTTCATCCTTGGCCGAGGTGGTACTCGGGAGGGGATTGCTACTTCGACCTTGGCCGAGATGGTACTCGGGAGGTAATGAAGTCTTCATCCTTGGTCGAGTGGGAGTGCTCGGGAGGGAATTCTTTTTTCATCCTTGGTCGAGGTGGTACTCGGGAGGGAAGTGTTTTTCATCCTTGACCGAGCGAGATTGCTCGGGAGGGATTTCGTGATTTTAACTTGTGACTAAACTGGGCAAGTGAAAGTTTGCTCAAAAAGGAGCTTGTTTCATTGATATGGTGCCTCGTTAAAAACCTTTTCTCAGGAAAACCTCTTTTCACATTTTTCTAAGAGGAGAAAACCCAGAAAAGGAAAAGAGTACACCGAAACAAAATTACATGATATGTTAGCTAAAGTAATGTTTCAAGTGTGTTGCATTCCAAGTGCGGGGTATAACCTTCCCATTGAGTTCTTCTAGTTTATAAGCCCCGTTCTGTAGGTCGTGCCTTATCCGATACAGTCCATCCCAATTGGGTGCTAACTTCCCCTGAGATTTATCTTTTCGCGCTTCCCCTGTGACTCGTGTTAAGTCTCAATTTTACCTCTTTTTGGATGAGACTTATACAAGATTTAATGATCAAATTCTTCCATTCTTTGTATCATTGCATATAATTGTTCTCATTTTGGTTTCTCTTGTATATGCAGGTATTCAAGTAGAGAATTGAGGAAAAAAAGGGTTAAAGGAGTGGAAAACAAAAGAATTAAGGAGCAGAGCAGGCAACCGCGCCAGGCGCCGTATTAATCTCGCCGGGCGGGCATAAAATAGAGTACTCTCAGCCTTTGGGAACCTCGCGCCGGGCGCAATTTATAATTGCGCCGGGCGCAATTCAAGGCCGAGAGCACATTGAGCATCAGGGGAAGCCCGCGCCGGGCGCGAAGTGTAACGCGCCGGGCGCAATAACCCTAATTTGTGACTTATTTAATATTAGAGGAACAAAATCATAAAATTTAATAGGATAAAAATAATAAAATTATTAATTTGTTTTTTTTTATTTTTCTAAATTTCTACACTCATTTAAAACAAAAATATTTTATGAGTGCAATATCTATTTTTTTATAAGAATAAATGTCTTTATTTAAATATGCTTAAGTAAAAAAAAAATTGTGTGACAATTGCTGTCATTCCTTTAATGTGGATTGTCTCCTACCAACATACAATATGCATATATATGATCAAATGGTTAAAAAAATTGAAAAATAACCTACATCAATAAACTAAATTATGACACATTTAATGAGTAAAAAAGTAATAACTCTTTTAGTCAAAAAAATATAGTATATTATAATAATAGTAATAAATAAAAAGGAATTTACTTATTTCAAGAATAAATTTTAATAGACTTACTTCGCTCAATAATTCATGTTTTACATGTAAGACAAGAGTAAAAATTATAAATAATAAAAAAGCTAATCAATAAAATAAATATTATATAGTGATTATAATAAAACAAAAATATTTTTTTCAAATAATTAAGAGAATTACGTAAATACTTAACGAGTATCGTGTAGTATTTTTTGGATAATTAAGGATTGTAATTATTAAAATTGACCTGATGATTAAAGTTATAATATATACGAAGATCTAAGTATTGATTTCCAATGTCATAGTTGTAATTTTTTTTTTTATTTATCAGAAAGAAAGATTGAGGGGGTAGTTATAGGTAAAAAAATAAGAGAATCATGTACAATTTTATGAAGTATAAATATAAGAAAAATGCTAGATCGTGCGAAACAACATTTCAAAAATTATTACGAATGATTAAAAAATTAATTTAAATTATAAAATATTAAATTAAATGATTATTTATAATGAATTTATTAAAAAAACATTTTTTTTTTTTTTTTTTTGAAACAGCAAATGTTAATTGTTAATTGTTAGTTGTTAGTGGGGGGATTCGAACCCACACCCTCCTTATCACTCCAACCCTATATCCCTCCCCCCAAGCCACTTAGACCACCCTTATCACTCCTATTTAATGTTTCGAAAGATGATTCGGAGAATATTTCTGAAGGATATAACAATCCCTTAAATATAGTATTCTCAGTATAAAAGATTTAAAATATAAATATAATAATTTTAGTGATGTTTGAGTGAGTAATTTGAGGTGAAACAAATAATTTACCTAAAGCATTAACTGAAACAGCAGTGAAGTAGCTATTCATATGGTTCAGCGTAGTATCCGCCTGCTAAAATATTCAAAGAATTGACTTTATCTCAAAGGCAAAGCAACAGTTCATTAGTATTCCCCCCAAGTTAGCTAAAATTAGCATTTCAAGTCTTCAAGTTACATGTATACTCCAAACACACCTCAAACTCACTATATTAAGGCCACAGATTACAAAAACAGATCATCACCCTAAGGGCAGAAAGAGAGACTGTGTGAGATGGAAAAGAGCAAAGTGCTTATTGTTGGCGGAACTGGGTACATTGGAAAAAGGATGGTAAGGGCATCTTTGGCTCAGGGACATGAAACTTTTGTCCTTCACAGGCCTGAGATTGGGGTTGACATTGAGAAAGTTCAGCTTCTCTTGTCATTCAAGGAACAAGGGGCTAGGCTCGTATCAGGCAGCTTTCAGGATCATCAGAGCCTAGTGAATGCTGTCAAACTAGTTGATGTTGTCATTTGTGCTATATCTGGTGTTCACATTCGCAGCCACCAAATCCTCCTCCAACTTAAACTCGTTGATGCCATAAAAGAAGCTGGAAATGTTAAGGTAATTCATTCACATCTCATAAAGTCTCATCATATCATATATGCTTTTAATAATCAAATGATATTGGTCACATATAAATGCTAAATGCTAAATTTATTATAAGTTATAGAAGTGGAAATTGTTAAATAAGAAGTGGATCCACCAAATTTTAACCAATGACATATAGTATGTATACTTCTCATCGTTTACATTATTGCAAGAATTTTCAATAATTAAACTAGGTGACACAAAAGTCAAATATTAACTTTAATTGGCTCAATGTTACTTTTGAGATTGTGTCTCTTAAGAATTTGATATTCTGCACTATGCACAGAGATTTTTGCCTTCTGAGTTTGGGACTGATCCTGCAAGAATGTCGCATGCATTGGATCCCGGAAGAGTTACATTTGACGACAAAATGGTAATAAGAAAAGCCGTTGAAAAGGCTGGCATACCATTCACTTATATCTCTTCTAATATTTTTGCTGGTTACTTCCTTGGTGGGCTGTGTCAACCTGGTTTCCTAATCCCCTCTACAGAGTCTGTGGTCTTGTTTGGTGATGGAAATGTAAAGGGTAAGTGGTAAGCTAGCTATATGTACTTAATTAATGATAAAATACATTGATAAAAATTAAAAAAAATAACTTATAAAAACTGATTTCGCTACATAAAAGGTTATGTCCCTTGTCTGAAGGGATTGTTAGAATACAAACAAGTCCCACATAAAACTATGAAGATTTAAATTCAAAGTGGACAATATCTTATCATTGTGGAGTTTGCGTGTAATAACCTTATAAAAATAATCCTCATAAAATATTATTTTAAACAAATACCATAAAATAAATCCAACAATTACTTTCCAAAATAATTTTTTTTTCTAATGTTTTATGACTACTCTCAGCTCTTTAAATTGTTCCACACAGTGACCACTAATTTGGACTTGTTTTGTTTCAATTATATGTCTTCTGAATTTGGCAGCAATCTTTGTGGATGAAGATGATATAGCTATGTACACTATCAAAACCATAGATGACCCCAGAACTCTGAACAAGACAGTGTACATAAGGCCACCTAAAAACATATTATCCCAGAGAGAGGTTGTCCAAATTTGGGAGAAACTGATTGGGAAAGAGCTGCAGAA